ACCAATATTTTCCAAATAATTAACGTACATCACAAAATTGCACATGGGTAAAGAGCCATATCAAGTACAAAATACCTATGTTAATGAATCCTAACGTGATATTCTGAAAAGCTCTTGAATTTAGTTTCAGGTTCTGCCCTGCAACTATGTTTTACTGTAGTATCAAACTACTTGAAAATGCTATTAAATATTACTTCAATTTTCAATTACATATCAAAGGTGAAGCTACCATATTTCTTAGCAATGACATCACAACAGATTAAATGTAGAAATAGATATGAAAAATAGAAGAGGGTGAAGTAGTAATTAAAACCTCCCACCAGACATTATGTTAAATAAAATAAGCCAGACACAGGGAGACACTGCATTTTCTGTTTCAAGTGTGGAAGGTAAACAAGTTGATCTGAATGCAAAACAGTAATTTCTACAGATGAAGAGGGGGTATGGAAGATAGAGGGAGGTGGGATAATAGGTCTCAAAACACAGTTAGGAGCAAGTTTTAGTGTCCCAAAGCACAGGAAGAGTGTGTAGTTCACAATAACCTTGTATATATTTTATGAAGAACTCAATGAGAACAGCTCAAAAAGACAAAAAAAGAAAGAAAATATACTAACCCAAATTATAATAGCATCTAAAAAATTAATCCCATACTTATCAACAAATTCAACCAAAGAACTAAAAGATCTGCAACTTAACCTGCAAAGTAAAAGCAATAATGAAATAATCTAAGATACAAATGAAAAGCTATTCCATCTCCATGGATTAAACATTTAGTATTACTAAAATATCCACGTAATCCAAAGGAATTCAGAAATTCATCGTAATCGCTTACAGCATAGCAAAACTCATTTTAGAACAGGATAAATAATATTACAGAGCTCTAGTAATCAAAACAACATGGTGCTAATACAAGCGCAGGCCAGGGGAACAGAATGTCAAAATCAAAAACTCAAACATATACAGTGAACTAATTTTCAACAAGGACAGTAAGAACACAAGGGAGAGGCCAGGCCTAGTGGTGCACACCTGTAATCCCAGCACTGAGGAGGTTGAGGCAGGGGGACGGCAGGGTATTCAAGGCCAGCCTGAATGACATAATGAGACCCTGTCTCAAAGAAGCCAAAAGGGTTGGGGGGGGAAGAAAAGAAAAAGGACATAAAGGAATTTTATTTTCATATGCAAAATGATAAAACTGGGTCCTTACCACACATACACAGGCAAAAACCAAAAAACTCAAAATGAATAAAAGACCTAAACATTAGACCTGAACCATAAAATACACCAAAGAAAAACTGGAGAAAGCTTCCTTCCCTGACATTAACTTTAGCAATGGTTTTTTTGGATATTACCCAAAAAACACAACTTAAAAATAAATGAACTATATCAAACTTCTACACAGCACAGGACACAACCAACAAAATAGAACATGGCACAGATTGGGAGAAAATATTTTCAAGCCATACGTCTGGTAAATGATTAATATACAAAATCTATAAAGAAGTCATACCACTCATTAGCAGAAAAACAAAGTAGCCTAATTTAAAATAAACAAAAAACCCATATAGATTTTTTTCAAAGAGGCCAGGAAATTTAGACAATACATGTATGAGAAGGTGATCAACATGACTAATCACAGAAACACAAAGGCACAATGAGATATCTTCTTACAACTGCAGGGAAGGCTACTATCAAAAAGAGAAGCGATGACCAGCATTGGTGAAGATATAAATAAGTCTCCTTGCATTCTGCTGCTAAGATGTGGAATGCTGCATCTACTGAAGAAAGCAGTCTAGAAGTTCATAACTCTACAATACAGCTACTGTGCGGCCCAACGGCCTATGGCTATAGGCCCAAAACAAGTCAAACTGCTACCTCATAGGGATACCTACACTCCAACGGTCACTGCAGCACTATTCACAACCGCCAAAATTTGGGAACAACACTTCATGTCCAGTGATGAATGAACAGGTAAAGAACATGAAGTATTAGTAATATCCTCAGAAGGATTATTATTATTTACTTGTAAAAGTGAATCTTCCTTTTGCCACAACATGGATAAATCTGGGGGACGTTATGCTAAGAGAAAGAAGCCAACAGAAAGAAAGACACTCTATGATCTCACAGGTAACAATCTAAAAAAACGAAAGTCAAATACACACAGATAGATAGTGGATAAACAGTGGTTCTCAGAGGCAGGACAACAGAAAATGAGATGAGTCAAAGGTCACCAAGTAACAAGTACGTAGGATGAGTAAGTCTAGAAATTATATTACAAAATTGGCATTTTAGCTGATATTATACTGTAGTCACAATTTTTTGTTCTACGACTAGACTTGAAGCACTCTTCCTACAATTTTCAAAAGTGGGTAACTACATGGAATGACAGGCTTATTAATGTGCCTGACTTACATTAACCTCTTCACTATACATGCGTCAAGGTCACATTTTGTTCATCTTAAATATATACAGTAAAATTTAAATAAAATTAGATATAAGAATCCAACTATTTATGAAACTAGATATTAACGTGATTTACACAAAAGTAAAAGTAAGTACTTCTGTCCTGGAAAATTAATAATTTTCATCAATGTTATTATATAGTAGACCCTCACTTATCATGGAGGTTACATCCCAGACACCCCTGCAACAAGTAAAAATCAGCGAAGTAGTGACATTATATTTATTTTAGTATTTATATATATTTTAAGGCTTTATAAATCCTTCCCACACTTTTAAAGACACTGGCTAAACTCGTGAGCCTATGTAATTTTAACAACATATGTATACGCATGGTACTGCAAAATCCTGTGATATAGTGAAAAATCTGCAATAAATAATTTAGATCAATATTTTTTCAAAACCCATGAAACAGTGAGTCTGTGCAAGTCAAACCACGGTATCGTGAGGGACCACTGTGTTATCATGGAACTAGATTTTAAAATTAGTAAACCAGTATTTTTAAATTTCCAAATTTTAATTTCTACTAAATATATACTTAGAATCAATTCTAAATATCTTAGTATCGAAGGAACTATCTTAGTATCTAAGCTTAAAAGTTCTGTAGGGTCTTCAATCTTCAAATGTGTGTAGGAGTCCTGAGACTAAAAGCACGGAGCACTGAAGACACAGGAAATTACTAAACGAACAATACAGCCAAGAAAATACGGCTGGGCAAACAAGGTTTAAAAGTAGGGCAGACAAAAGCAAGTAACTTATTCAGTTGCAGATTTAATTTGAACTCATTATCAAAAGAAATAAAAAGATTGTAGAAATAAGTTTAAGTTATTTTAATCAGGCTTTAAAGAGCATATCATGAGAAGACACAATTAAGAAGTACTTCAATTTTATGAGGCTATTTATTTTAAGAATCTTATTGCAGGGCACCAAGAAATGAAGAGAGAGAGAGACAAGCTCTACAATGCGCTTTTCAAGGACCCAGCAATTCCTCTTAAACCTCTTCATTATAAATCACACAGAAGAGAATAAGGAGAAAAACTGCCTATTTTAATGTAATTATTTCTATTATTCTAACCTTTAAGACAAAGAACACGAACAAGGTGCTGAGTGAAAGCCAGCTAGACACATTAGCTGTCTGTTTTGTGATTTAAATCGCTGCTCATATTACCATCTTGTGGCAAAATGAAGTACTGCACTCCTGAGTGACAAGCCGAGAGGTGTTAACCATGCTTGAAAGACAAGTACTCTCCCCTTTCCCGCCACACCTTCCTGCCAGCCCCAAGTAAAATGAACCATCAAAGTGCTGTTTTTAAAAAGTCTGAAATAATGTTAAGCAAAGAAATAGTAAAAGGAATGTACTGACACAATAGAAATATTAAAAGGAAAGTATGGCCAAAATCCCAGTGAATGATGAAAGATGCTTCAATGTGTCAATTCAACAATTAAAACTGTGTCTAAGGGCCAGCCAAAGAGCTCAGTGGATTAAAGTGCCTGCAACTAAAATGGCAATTGAGACTGGGCGTGGTGGCGCGTGCCTATAATCCCAGCTCTTGGGAGGCTGTAAACAGGCGGCTCACTATGAGTCCAATCTAATAGTGAGACCCTGAACATCCTGTAGGCCCTTCCCTAAAATACAGAAGAAAAACCTGTGTCTAACTCTTACAGAGCAAAATTATATTTCATAAGCACAGCATGAGATAAAACTTGTGCTTGGTGGCTTCATTTCATTGCTACTTTATTTCATTTTATAAGTTAAAATTGCTGCCACACTTAATCCTGATTTTGCAGAAGTCTTTGCATCCCTAATATTTTCTCTTCACCTCGGCCCACATAACTTTCATGTGAATTTTCCCAAACATGCAAAACTCTACTTACTCCTGATACTCTAATCCCAAATCTACTCTTACTTCTTGCGGACACTGTCCTACAGAATTTCAACTAAACCCAATAAAATCATTCTGTGTATGTACACACAATGAGCATAAAGATTCTAAGAACCAGCCAGGGAACAAAGGATTCAACAAGTCCAAGAGTAAACATAAAATGCAGATGGTCAATTTCTTGCCATTATTTTACATAACCAAAACAGTGAGTCACCTGAATAAGTTCCATATTCTTGTTCGTTCTCTAGCTTGGCTTCAATACAATAACAGGTTTATAAGATGATCAGAAGTAAAAGAGAAAGAGTGCGCAGGCAAGCACCCACCTCTCCACTCTCCCCTCCGCTACTTCAGCAATGGTGACCCGGTCAAATTCTCTGAAACAACCAACGCTTAGACCTCAGGCTAGATAACCTGCCTCTCCACAGAATGGCTTCGTCACTTTTGTGAAATTTAATATTTCTAAAATCTAATTCAAATGATCTGAGTTTTTTTAAGTCAGCAATTACCTGACATAGTGATTATTTTTACTGTATTCATTTAACGGTGATGCTTTTGAAGTGCAAGCCTTCTCCAGCCTAAGAACACCACCCTTGTTAAAAAACACTACCAAACGTGAATTTTTCTGAGGACGAAGTAGGACTAACATAGACTTCAGCCAACCTGTCGATGACTGCAGTGTTTGGTGCAAGGTGTGTGGCAGCGGCAGGGTGAAAAAGGGTAAACGGATGCTATTTCCAAAGAAGTCTTCTGTTGCTCTAGATTGCAAAACTTTGGTTTCCCAGAGCTGCAGAGGAGGAAAAAACGAAAGTTTGCTTTTATAAAAAAATTATTGGGATACTTACTTTTATTTTTTAAGTTTTTACATTTAAATTGTCAGCTGAATTAGTACTGTACTGAATTAGTACTATACTGTTAAGTGGTGAGTCAGAACTATAATTTATCTGGGGTTCTTTTTAGCTGAATACAAGGAGAGAAATGTGTATTGTCGACAAACCTGTTTCAAGTCTTTTAAAACATGTTCTTCTATACCTTCTTCAGCAAACAGATCCCGAACTCCTTCAATTACATCTTCAATTATAGATCTGTAGAGTTTAGGCTATACAAAAGCAATTGTAAAGCTTTAAATTCTTTGAATATATTCAGCCTTAAAAGGCATGCCGTGTATAATTCCTAACGTCACAGTTTAAAAACAAAATTTTTTTTTTCTAAGTAACATCCTACTCCCAGTTAATTTTGGCTCTCCATAAACTGTGTTGGCTCCAGGCCCCTAAATTCAGCAGCTGTGCGCCCCACTGCAGTCAATCCTTGCCCTATGATGACTACTATAAAATATAAGATAATCTCATTCTAAATATACATATGGTTATTTTTCTGTGAGATTGGAGGGGGGCAGTCACAGTTCATTCCACTTCCAGAAGACACACTTCTCTCTCTCATATATACATGTACCACACAAGCATATATATTTGGAACCACTATCAAATAAAAGTACAACTGCACCAAGACGGATTTCCTATACCAGAAACTAAGGGACATAAACAAGCCCAACCCTTCTGCAATGCCCATATTGTGTAGACACAACATGATCCTAGTGTCCCAGTAAAATTATGTTATGAAATAAATTAATAGATTTCTACCCAGATTGTATAGTGGTTATATGAATAACACAACATATGTGAAATAAACTTAGTCCTTCAGATCTATGTGAAATGGGTTCCATCAAGCCCCAAGGCCCAAGGGCCACACTCAGTGTGCTGTAGCACCATCCAGCTCAAGTTCTGGAACGGAACACATTTCTCAACGTGCTGAAAAATGCCAAAACAGGAATTTAGTTGAGTTGCTCTTAGTTCAAACTGTTTAACCAGAACAAAAAAAAACTTCTAGCATTCTATAGGACTGCTTCTTTACATTACTCATAAAATACCCTAAATACTCCAGTTCACTCTACAGGAAGCTAAATTTTATACTACCTTCTAATCAGTAACATTTAAATAATGTTAGTCACAAGCACAGCCATTAAGACTAAGTGCCCAGAGGTAGTTGTTTCTTCTAAAACAGGTTACCCTATAAAGGCTATCTAAATTGATGCTTCCGTCTTAATCTCAACTAGTGTGATCCCAGAGCTAGAGGAAAAAATTCTTAGGGCTAAAACACCTTTCTGCTCGGCCCTCAGAATATAACAGCAGCAGTCAAAAGGAACCCATCAGAACACAATTTTTCGAGCAAAATACAGTTTGTTTACCGTCTGTCTTCTAGGACAGCAGTTAGACCTTACATCACGTACTCTTTACTGAAACCGTATGTAGTCCAGAAGCCCACCTTGGTTCCTTCCCTGAGGAAAACATACTCTGCTTGCCGTTCATAATGAGGTGTATGGATATACTTCTTAAGCGCAGATTTAAGTATCTCGTATTTCTTAAAATAATCATAAAATTGGGGCCAGGGAGATGGCTCAGTGGAATAAGCGTTTCCCTGGCAAGCGCAAGGGCCTGAGTTCAATCCCCGGTTCCGCAAAAAAAAAAAAAATCATAAAATTGACATCCATAAAATGAAAATAGCATGCCTCAAAAATGGAATCTTTTATGCTATATACGCATACGTGAAATTTAAAAATGTATCTGGACATCTACATTGTCTTTCAGGACACAAAGTCTGTTGATAGTAAAAATGAAGCCTTTTCTCCTTTTAATTCAGGTTAAAATTGATGGAGCGTCCCACAAATGCCATTTAGGCTGTAAATTTTGTGAGCTCTAGGAAGCCTCGAGATGGTAAAGGGTGAGAAAAGTAGGAAACGACTGAAAGTAGCAAGCCATAGCATACTGCCTGCTGTCCCAGGTTAATCCACAGCGGACCCTCGATTTAGGGACCCGAGTGTCCCTGAGCGCCGGGAAACACCAGCTGAAGGCGCAGACTCCGCACGCACGGCCTCCCCAGCCTCCCCGCACACAGGCAGGCGGGGCTCAGCGTCCCGGCGCTGCCCGGAAGGACGCCGCCACGGCCCCCGCAGAGCTCCTGGAGGCGCCAATCTGCGCGAGACCGTCCGGAAGCACAAGCCCAGCAAGGGGCTGTAACCCAGGGCTCAGCGGGGAGCCCGAACCGGAATTCCAGCCGGCCGTAAGCCACGCGGTTCTCACGCCAGGCCCGCCCAACGCGAAGGTCGTTCACGCACTTCAAATCAGCACCGCGGCCCACACCATGGAAGCACTAGGGTGCAAGGGAACCTGGGCGCGTCCTCGACACGGGGACACCCGCAGGGCGACGGGGAGCCACCTCGAAGCCCGTCCCTGGGCCTGGGGACGAGTCCGGGCACGGCGGGCTCAGGCAGCCCCCCTCCAGGGACCCGCCTGGGGCGGAAGCGCTCTACGGGGTCTCCCGCCCTGGCCTCCAGGGAGCTGGTGGCGTACGCGTGCGCCCCAAACCTCCCTGGGGAGGGGTGCCCCACTTCCGGCTGAACCCTCCTCCAGCCTCCAACAAGCTGAAGAGCGTTCCTGAAAGCCTGTGGCGTGTTACTGAGGATGAAAGGGTGTGTGGGGCTAGACTCCTGGCCTCACAGGCCCCAGGACGCCGCTTACCACCGGGTTGTCGCCGGCCATGACGCCAGCCCAGCGCCCGGCCCACGTGCCTGCAACACGCGGCAGCCACAGCCGAGCGCGGGGGAAAGTTTTCAACGGCGCACTCCCAGGCAATGCGGGAGGGCCCGGATGGGCCGGAACCCAGTTTATGGAGGGAGTGCCGATTTCGGGGCGGGGCCTTTATTTCCTCACCTATGAATGGCTGACCAAATAAGGAGCGGAGGTGCCGACTTCCGGGGCGGGGCCTTTATTTCCTCACCTGTGAATGGCTGACCAAATAAGGAGGGGCGGTCCCTCGGGAAGGTCCAGTTCGCCTTCAGCGCTGAAGGCGCAGGCAAGGGCAGGGAATGTTAGTGATTTCCGGTTTTACTAGTTCATTTCCCCCTCCCCAACCCCCTCGCAGCTGAACCCAGATAAGGCAAGAACCCATCTAAGACTGGTTCTTACACTGTGGGAAGCAGCAGTATCACCTGAAACCTTTTAAAAATGCAAATGATTGAAGTTCCCTGTACTTACGCACACCACACACACACTCATCACATACCACACACCCCTACTGAATCAAAAACTCACAAGCGAGAGCCCAGCAGCGGCCCTTTAATGTGGCTTCCAGCTGATTCTGATGGGCGCTAAAGTGGAGCCCACAGCCCGAAGACTCTCAGCTTTGGGTGCACGTTAAAATAACCTGGGGAGCTTGGAAAAACTTTGGTGCCTGCATCCCATTCCAGAGACTCTGATTCTAAAAGGTAACCAAGGTGGGGAGCCGCCCTTACCATCCTTTTCCTCTGCAGGCAGCCATTTGTTGACCTGTGATTTCTATCACTTTCCTGAAGGATGTGGCCCCTACCTCGCTAGGCTGAGGGCAGATCATCTGGAGGGCTAGAAAGGGGAAGAGGTCCTCGGTCACGGCCATTCAGGCTTTAAACGGGCTTTCTAGCCTGAAGATAGGTCTTGGCCTGACCAGATGGGTATTTAATGATTACACTTCTTTAAGGCTTGAAATTGGCTGTTTACTTATGCATATAACCGCGGTAGAGCTACTGGCCATGTTCTACCGCTGTATTTTCTTGTCTGGAACAGGAACCTTTGGTTCATGAGTTTTCAGCGGCTAAATCATATGGGGTCCTTTAGAAGGAGCCTAAATTGAAAACTGACAGAAATTTGTTTTACACAAAGCCAGGAAGTTTGCATGGTAATTTTCAATGGTTGTGTCTATCTGGCAGTTGACTACAGGAATATTCAAAGTGATGTATCTTTCACCAAATAGAGGCAAAAGGTAGACATTGATTCCTTCCTATATTTTGGTAGTCAGCTTCCAACATGGCCGCAGTTTGATCCTTGCCTCCAAGTGTTCCAAGCCTGGCATTGTCCCCTCCCGTATCCTACCATGATGCTTGGTGTTGCCCCCTCTCATATTGTACCGTGGCTTGTCTGGGTAAACAGTACAAAGCAGAATTCATGGAACACCACTTCAAAAGTTACTGTAAGACTCTGGGCTGTCTCTTCCTGGCCACTCACCTTCCAGCTATTTCCAAAAAAGTGAAATAGTTCAACCAGTCACCAAAGACAAGAGGTGTCCTGAGACTGAAGAAAGAAGTGGGCAAACCCAGGATGGCTCAGAAGCTAATGTATAGGTGCTTACAGACAAAGGCAGCAGCAAATCCAGACATGGCAGCAAGACAGAAGGATCCCTGCACCCCAAAGTAGGACGAAGAGTTTTATGTGCTAAACTAGACAAGGGTAAGCCACTCTCAAGTGGAAAGGCCTGGGCTTTCTCATAAACTATTAACATGTCTAAACTCAGTTTTAAAAAGACAGTCTGGGAATGCCATTCAGTGCTTTCTTTTTTTTTTTTCAGTACCGGCGGTCCAACTCAGGACCTTGAGCATGCCAGGCAGGTGCTTAGGTTGCAGAGCCATCTCCCTGGCCCTCAGCAGACTTTCTGGAAGACTTGTTCGTCCTACAAAATTTGGAGTGCACATGGGGGTCCCTGCTGCACAGAATGGCAGTCACAAACCAAGATGACTGTGGTCAGGTCGAGTTGCATCCCAGTGCCAGCTGTCGTGTCACTGCGATGTGCAGATAGCACAAGACACACACAGGAGAGGCCTGTGTGGCAAGGACCAGAGACTCCAGGCCACAGTAGGCATGGACCGTGTATCTGCCAGCAGTCACCGGCCTGAGCGCGGATCCCGGTGGTCCTGGCTGGGCTGCCGGGTGATCACAGCCCTGACCTTCAGCTTGGCTGCATCCTGCGGGAGACTTGGAGCCAGAGCTACCTGTGAAGCAAGAGAATGCATCCTTTTCAGTAGTCAAACATCGCAGGGATTTGTTACACTGCACAAGGTGAATAATACAGGGCCTATTCTCAGCGTAGACCAAGACTAAAGGAGGTTTTCCCGCATTGTGACCTCAGCACTTCAGCTTTCTTGCCTACTTTCCTCAGTCACATGAGAACTTTAAAGGTGTGTAAAGAAATCTTTATAGACTGATATTGATAGCTTTGACCCAAGATTATCATGAAACAAGCAGATACTTACAGTCGTGTAATGGTCACATTTCTTTTGTCCATTTCTAAACTCAGGCAGGGAAGGATGTTGCAGGCATGAAGAACTTCTGGTGCTAAAATTGAATTTTCTGGATCCCAGAGCCCAAGTGAGGCAGTTTTGCAGTAACTATTTTTTATGTTAGCAAACAGAATAAAAAAAAAAATGCTGAGCTTTGAGTATTTCATTCTTAGAAATTATACCTGCACCAAAGCATAAAGTCCTTCCCCAACCACCCATCACAGATGAGTGCATCAGATTTTCATTTTCCCCTCAAGATACATATATATACATATATATATGTATGTAATCATTAATAACCAACAACAGTTTTTGCAACATTTAAGCAAATCTTAATAGTCAGATGAACTTCTTTGTCTTCTGCCTGCGGTGTGTTCTCATTACTTTTGCCTGAGGTTTCAGTGACACTATAGAAACAATTTTATTCATTGTGTGAAAAATCTATATTCAGGATGTCCATTCCTTGGATAAAAATTTTAAAATCTATTTCAGAGACAGCCCATTATCTTTTACATATTAAACTTTACAGTTAAGTACAAAATATCTCAATAACTATATGGACGCTAAATAACATATTTATCTGTAATGAAAAACTCCAGCTCACCTTTCGGCATATGACTTGAGGCAGCAACGATTCATAATTGCTTTCTGCACAGTTTGCAGTCAGTGCATAAAGCTGACAGTGTTGTGTCTCTGGCTCTGTTTCATCCTTCACATCTTCCCGAAAATGAAAATCCAGATAATCTCTGTCTCACCTGGTAAATTTTAAATGCTTACAATGTTGGCAGTTCTGATTTATTTAGACTCTGCACTTTTGTAACATTTTCCATTTTCTAATACAACCTCAAAATCAACTTACATTATTTGAGCACAGATATTGCTCCGTTATCCACAGATACGGCTCCCTCAGCCCTATGGGGTTCCAGTCCAAGGGGCAAGATGAGGCAAGCCAGTGCCAGCTGGTGGCCTCACCACCCAGGAAATGTACCATTAATCAGATCCTTAACTGCCTACTTCAACATGTTTTACAACTTGAGATATATATTGCGTAGATGCGTAGACCACTGAAAATATTAACTAATCACAAGGATGCAGCGTGACTTTAAATTCAAGTTCCCATCACTACCTTCTCAACAGTCTCATCATGGTCTTGACAAGCATTCAGTGTTTTCCTAGCTTACAAATGATTCCATTTTGGGGCTGGCGAGATAGCTCAGTAGACTAAGCACCTACTTAGGCAAACGCAGGGACCAGGGTTCAATCCCCAACACAACATGCGGCACTCCCCCCAGGCATACTGAGCCAGCTTCTGGGTCTTGTGTGGGGCACGCCTGCAATCCCAGCACTGGGGAGGCTGAAAACAGGATCACTACAAGTCCGGGCTGTGTAGTGAGACCCTCTATCAAATACGTTTTTAAAAAAAGATTCCATGTTCATTCTTTAATCCTAATGTGTGTAACTACACACAAATATAAAATATTAATAAGGGTAAAATTCCTTGTCTCCAGCTAACTCTCCAACCTAAACCTCCACTTGGAGAAGACAGGAGTACAGATCCATAATCTGATGTTAAGGTATGACCTTGAGAGAGCCGCCCAGCTCGGCTCTCATAATAATTGTATTTTCCTTCTTTCTTAACTGTTGTCATTTTAGGAGAGGCAAAGAAAACTGTCTTGGATCATCTCTTTCTGCCCCGCGTGCCTCAAATATCAGGAGGCAGAGACAACATGAAGGAGATGTCTTGTGCCTGTTCTTCCACAATTAACAGATAAAAATTCTGGATGTAATAAATCAGCCAGCATCACAAGACTCCAAGAGGTGGGAAGAAGAGGACGCACCTGGTAGTCGCCCACACGTGAGGAAGGGTGGTGCTTGCTCGCTATCTGTTTGCTTTTCCTCCTGCCTCCTACACCCCAAACTAGTTGCTTGAGAAGCTAAAAATTCAGAAATCACCTGCGACCAACTGCCAGAACTCTCAGGCTGAAGGATCCAGAAAGGCATTAGTACCAATCTGTTCAACTGTAACCACTGTTCTCCACCCAACCACCACAGAAAAAGTGTCCCCACTCCTGCCTGTGTTGCCTCTGCTCATCATCGTGTGGGGCTTTTTGGCCTTGGAGATGGGCAATGTCCTGGTCCCAAAAGCTTAAGTACTTCGCTTTGTGTGATTCCCTTCGTTCCCCAAGTGACAGCCCTGTGTGTTGTCCAGGCCACTTGAGAGTGGCTAACAAATATTTGTTCACTTGTGCGTGATCACGAGAACAGACCAATGAATAACTCCCCAGCTGAAAGCTGCTCATTGGAGGTTACATTTTACCTATGCGTAGTAGACAAGTGAAAGAAATTAAAGACCCAATATTGTTCCAAGCACAGGTAAAATCCTGCAGCTTTCCAAAGGTTCCATGATGTCTTCATGAAGAGACAGATGAGAAGCAACGTTGGCTTGATCAGATGCTGGGTATTAAGAGACAAGCGTGGTCCTGGGCATACGGTGGGCGCTAAAGGCTGAGCAGGTGTCCCATCCACTTTCACTGG